GATGGGGAGGTCCTCACATATATAAATCTTAAAAACTATTGAGTATTATGAAGAAAATTGAGGTACTGTTAAAAGGGTTGATTCTTACTAAAATATCACCTTTTTTTTTTCAATGCAAAGCTCATTCGAAGTTGCTGTCAGGCAGAGCAGTCCTCAGCTAATACATTAAATGGTGTCTCTTGACTTCAGACGGGTAAGTGAAATCCTATTAGTTACTATACCAAAGTTTTTTTAATGTTCAGACAAACATATTCTCAAATCACACTAGTACATTTTTTCAAAATACTTCAATTTTTTATATATTCAGTGTTTCAAAATACTTTACTGCTCTTTGGAGATCCATCCATGTGGAACCTGTATCAAGAGAGAATCTGAACAAACATTGGAGCAATCTGTCAGTCAATATATATGTATTAATTTGTAATGTAGTGTCATGATATAACCCCAGCCAGCAACCAGGACCACGCTGCTGCTCACTCACTCCCCCCAGCTGGGATGGGGGAGAGAACAGAAGAATAAAAGTGAGAAAGTAGCAAGTGTTCAGAGGTTGTGAAGGGAGAGTTTTATTTTTCATAATCTTGGGAGAATGAACAACCAACAGAACCTTCACACAGGGCCGTAGCAGTGCCCTCTAGCTATGGCAACTATATTAATGTAACATTGCCCCTTATGCATCAGTCTGGTCTAGTCTAGTTTGTTTTTATTTTGTCATATGTGAGACTGGAAAAAAGACTTGATTATGAGACCTGAATTGCAAGAAAATAGAGTGGATAAGTTTTTTGTGAGGTCCTTGGCAAAAAGCCCGTTAGCCAGATTTTTGCCTGGTTCATTTAATTAACTTCTCACATGTGCAGTTTGTTTCATTGTCATTACTTTAGTATATGTTTGTTTAGTTGTAGTAAATGTTTAGAAGTAATTTGAAGGCCTGGATACATATAATAGAGAAAAATCATACACAGAAAGATGATGAGACAAATCTTCTCATTGAGAGACTGATTTATCTTGTAGAGGACAAATATTCCAGGGATGTTGTCTTTAAAATAAACCTGAGTGCCAGTTTTAAGTCAAGAAGGGTATTCTCTTTTCTTGGAACATGAGGAAGGTAGGAAGGTTGTAGATAATTACATTTAATATCTTGCCAATAAGAGCAAAGATTGGCGTTATGTTAACAAATTATATTACATGGAGATATGCGTGTATCCTATCTGATCCAGAAAAGTTCACTGGAAGGATGTCTGTGCTATCACTTTTAAACTAAAGGATTCACTGTTACACTGCTGTAGTTAATCTTGACAGTGAGAAAGACCTCTTTGGGTATGTGCAAATCCATGTTTTAGTGCAATCTTTAACTTCATCTGTCATTGTACCATTGACATATCTATTATTGTTCTATTGATACTAAGTTTCCTTCCATCTTGCTTAATATTTAAATATTGAAGTTAAAACTAAATTTAAATACTGAAGTTACTTAGCACTGTAGCAGCCCCTACTTGAGTACTGTAAAACAATTTGAAATAAGGAAGAAGACTCAGTGGTGATACCTATCAGACGAAAGGTCAGAGATCATTTTACTGTAGAGGAACACACTCAGAACAGGCATGCTTTCAGAAAAAAAAATATTTGTTTTGTTTATAACTGAAGGATAACACGGTTTATTTGCTATTACTGTGTCATGATCTAAATCTTGAACAAGTATACTTCAAGACAAGGATCATATGTTAGACTTATGAGACAATTTGGAGTGTTGCTCAGTATGTATCAGATGATTTAGCATGCCATTTTTTTCAGCAACAGCTTGATTCTTCTTCTGTTTTCACTGTGTGAGACTGAAAAGATTTCAAGATTCTTAACGTAGGTACCAATCAATAATAAGTCTGTGGCAATGGAATAAATCATATTGCAAAACTGTGCTCTAAAAATCAGTGTTCATCTTTAAAAATATTAAAAAAAAATAAATCTAGTTCTCTGATCTGGTCAGCTTGTAGAGATAAACCTGGATTTAACCGGCATGGAAATGTCTTTTGCAGCTGATAATTACTGAAGAGGGGGAATCTTCTATGATCACTGTAGAAAGTTGTTAACTCTGAAACCTAAAGATGCCACACCAACCACTAGCTGTTTCATTGTTGATTGCATTACCATAAGGACCTAACTAACTCCTTTTCCCCCAAAGCAAACTTACCCACTTCCTCTTGTTGCCTGAAGAGATCTACTTACTACTTAAATATTTTGTCAAAGTCTTCCATTTTTCTTTCTCCCAGCAGCACTCCTGCATTAGGTATTGACAGTATAAAACTCTGCAACCCGTTGCAACGTTATAAGGTAAGAGTGGCAGAAGTAACTCAGAGCTAACTGTACTCACTGAGTTTAATATGAAAATGAATAAAGTAGTAAATGTGCCAACAAATCTGGAACTTGCCTGTAGTTCCCGTGTGCCCGGTGCAGGTGCTGGGATCCTTGCTATACAGTTCTGCTGTGCTGCTTGTGCCTTCCACTGGACTGCTCTTACTGGTACAGCACTACCTTCTTCTAGCATCCTACTCATTGGCACAGGGTTTTCTCTAACAGATTAGGGACATTCTGTTCAGCCTGCTGTCCATTCAGTTATTGTTTCTTTTCTTACCTCATTTTTTAAATTCTGTCTAACGGGAGTTTGTTTGGATTTGTTTTATCTGATTTGAAATATAGAGATAACAGCTGTTTAAAATAGAGTCTGCTCTTAGAAGGAAAAGCTACATGAATTTTAAATAAATCCTGATTAAACGGAAGTTATTTTATTCAGGAATGATTTGTGTTTGGAATGATTCACTGGGATCCCACTGATACTGTTCTACTGGCATAAAGGGAAGTGCAGAGGCTTCTGGTTTTCCTGCCAGGATGTATCCCTAAGAACCTGAGACTGCAAAGGTCCAGTGGGAGCTAACGACATCCTTTCCTTCTATTTCTGTGGCTCAGATGGAAAAAAGATTCAGGGTCAGCATCTTTTTCACTGGAATGGCTAAGAAATTTATTTATTCTATAAAATATATATTGACATAAGCTGATTTTATAACTGGAAAGTTATAAATAGGTTTCACACTAAAGGCAGCATCAAAAACCTGACATTTTTGGAGACAAAACCTCCTCACTTTTCCTCCCTAAAACCGAAGTCAGCACAGACTGAAGTAACCGGCAGTTTGCTGAAGGTGTTAACAGCTCTTTGAGGTGTCTGTAATATGCAACTGGGTACACTTTATTCAGTTAAAATAGTCTCTCATATATTTTATTTAGAGGTATTTAGAATATGTCCCAGGTGGAAAATACTAATGAATTCCAAACTGTTAGCTTATACTGATGCTGACCTACTTAGATTTTGGATTCATTTGGTGTTTAAATTTACACTTGCAAGTGCACCTGAGGCATTCCTGAACTTCAGTCTGAACGTATGTTTTTATCCAACCTGCTAAAATCACCTACCATTCCAGTGAGCACAACAGTACCCGGAGCCTGCTGCCGTTCTCACTTACAGCTTTTTGCTTTTAGCCTTTTCACTTATGCCATGGTAGAAAATCATCTTAATCTACGAGCTCCTAGGACTTGAGATATTCACTTGCTTATGAAACAGAAGAATGAACCGTTTTCCCAGCTTTCAAAACACAGCCAAACTCTGACAACCAGAACAGGTTTGGGTTGGTTTTTATTCCTGTGGCAAATAACTGACGGTTTAGAGCTTTGCAAATATACTACAGTCGCCAAAGCCTACCAGTAGTGATAGTAGTGGCAGGACCCAAATTTGTATGCACTGGAATAATCTTTTGGCTGTTCAGATTGGGAACTCTACAAAATTTGGGCACATGCCCATCACTAGAACTGGTTTTAGAGCTTTAAGGCTTACCTGAGTTATTATGGCATGTTTTTTCTCCAAAATATTCTTTCTCTTCTCCCCTGTTCTACTGCCTCCCTCTCCATCTGGATAGAGAGTCTCGGATTAATGCAGCAAAAGTGACTGGAGTATGCTGAGCATCCAATGTGTCTGAGATGCTGCAGGTGCTTAGAAAATATGATGCCTTAGAAAATGTGCAATATAGACTTCAGGAAGCATTCAGGTTCAACATTGCGGTCATTACATGGATAGCTGTCAAAATTCATGTGTTATTATCCCTGTTTATCCCCTTATCAAGGTTAGCTGCATTTTGTTTCTCTTTGTGATCCATAATGAACTGTCAAGTTTTGTACCTCTTACATTGTGTTTTTACCTGGTCCTGGCCACTCAGATTGCATTTCTCTCCAGCGTGGCCAGAACTTGTATCACATATTGTTTTTATGTAGTATCTATGAATTACAAGAGGAAAAGGATTATGGATTTAGAAAATGTGTTTCTTGCCTAAAGCTTTACCATTTGGCTGACGATAATCCAGGCAGACAGCCCCGGTGATCTGTAATTTGGTCTGATTCTTCAGAAGGACTGCTGCTGCTCTCCTGAGAGGGAAAAAGCTGTCAGACTTCTCCCATTCTGCCTTTGTGATCTTTCCGGTTTGGATGAAACTAGTTTCCTAATTTCTTTACAGAAGGAGGTAAAATCCTGACATATGGGCCAGTGGTGGTGCTTTTATCACCTGTGTATGTTTTCACATCAAAGAGCTTGTGTAGCTGCCTATTTTTCAGACAGTGCCCTCTGGACCTAAAGCGGACAGAATCAGAAAGGACCAGTCAAAATCCAAATTTTTATTCATGAATCTGAATAATCAAACCAAGAGTATTTAATCCATTACACAGAGGAATTCCAAATCCAGCCTAATTATTCTCAAAGGCACTAATCTCATTTTAGGCAGCCTTCTCTTTCTGGTCCCCAAGGGACCTGCCCCACAGAGCAGTCCCTCTCTCCCATGCCACCCCTCTGTGCGCTGCTGGGATTAGCCTGCATTTCTCAGAAGCCTGTGGAGGTTTTTTGCTTCTCGTTTTGTTTGTTTCCTGATGTATAATGGACCCTATCCGTCTCCCCTCTTTCTTTGCCTTATTAGGCTTATAAAACGTCAGGATTATGGCAACTGGGTCATCACAGCAGAGCTGCTGAAACTGATGTAATGACCTCTGTGTGTTTTGAAGTCAGGAGTTAGAATTAATGCTCTACAACGCTGAAACATTTTGAACGACCTCTAGTAATTCCTCTGCCCTTTTTGTGTCCTCAAATTCTCAATTTCCTCTACTAAATAAGTAAGTGGAGTTTTTCTCCCTCATCTTTTCCATGTAAATCATTATGCCTGACCCATAAATATAAACTTCCAAAGAGAAAATACTTTGCATCTGTAAAGGTCGGAATGGCATGTATTTTCCTAAGGGGACAGAAGCCCTCTCAATATATCCAGGAAGACTTTATTAACCACCCACTTAAAATTACATAAAGTTAAATATCACTTTGCAAAAGGGATTGTTTTGGAGAAAAACAGAAATGTAACTAGAACTATGTTTATTATATATTACTAAGAAATTTAGACTACAGGATTAGAGTATAAAACCACAGTTGTTTACAAATCCTCCAGATTAAATTGTTATTCCTAAAATTATTTGTTTTATCAGTGTAAATACATTATGCCACTTGGTGTACACAATGGATCCTAAGGCAGCCCAGGTTTTGCTAATTTCAGTGGATCTACATCAGACCTGAACATGAGCCAATCTTTCTGTTTTCCTGCTTCCACTGCAAAAATGAGCTGTGGATATTAAGAAGAATTGGTGGTCTATTTAAACAGGATTCTGATTAAACAAATCAGGTCTTGATCTCTTTCACATAACTGTGAAGTTCTATTCACATAATTTGTGGTGCAGTGTGTGAAACTAATTAATTTCTGAAAAATGTTCATCTGTGATTCAGCTACGCCCGTTACACTTCTTGGAATATCACACGGAAAATGAAGCTACCAAAAGGAAACATCTGTTTGTATCTAAAAACCCAAACATTTCTGAAGTTTAGCAACATGCATTCTTCTTGGGGCTGCCACCTATTATACTCAGCTCTAGAGCAAATGCCAGAAGGATACTTGAGGTGACCTTTTGTATCAGATTAAACAAAATGAGAAAACACTTGGCAATCAGACTTCCTCTGCTAGGCCATGGGAAACAGCAGAGCAGAGGAACAGATACAGTAAAAACATATTAATTCAATCTCATTTGCTTCAGAGGAGTCCAGCAGTGAAAAGAACAACTAACTGTGAAAAACCTGAGGTCTCTGTAATTTGGCACCTCTTGAAGTCTGTCTAGATTCTCCTGACAAGGGCTATCTCAGGCAGCAATAAAACGGGAGGGGATGAAGAAAACCAAAGGGCTTGAAAACATTATGTGGGAAATGGTTTTCTTTCAAAAGCTTTTTCTTAGGAAGAAAATATCCCCAGAGGACTGCAGTTGTGTATTGGCGTTCTTGTTGCATGGCTTCGGATATTTTTTTCACATATTTCTTTAAAATGCTGCGTGGATTTCAAGGTTCCCTGTGTTTGTGTAAATCTGTGACTCCGTTGTTTGTTGGTGTGCTGAGCAAAGCTGGGAAGGAAAATAAACTGCAGTTTCCCAGTGAGGTTAAACTAGCACAAGCCCGAATGCTGTTAAAATAGTAGTCCTGTATGCCAGTGGGTGCTCATCCCTTCCATCTGTCCATCCAGCACGTGGTGGGTAATAACACTACTGGTAGTATATTTGCCGCTCCTTGCCACTCATTGGTGAGATCACGGAGTTGGTTGGTTGTGTCTGTGAATGACAGAGCACAAATAATAGGAATAATCAGCTCTACTAAGCAAATGATAGATCTATCATCAAATGACCTCCCACTCTGACAGGTGAACAGATAAAGCAGTCGTTCGGGGAAGGAAGGATAAATGCAAATGTTTAACTGTTGTGATGATTGAGATTATTATGCAATAAATGTATACAGCAAGGATCTACCTAAGGAGGTTCCATTTTGGACTTTCAGTGCATTAGAGGTAGTTTGGTTTGCTCAAGCTGGTTGTTCAATATCACAGGTGATTCTCTAACGGTTGCAGCCTCCCTCTAGGGTACCTCGCTCCTTGCCGCTGCTGCTTTCCATCCACAGCAGTTCCTCATGCTCAGATCTTGGAGTCCTTCCCGTGTGCAAGTGGTCAATCCCCACAGGCTTCTCCTAACTGGATGGGAGACAAAGGAGAACCTTCTTCCCTCCTTCCAGAGGGGAGCAGCTGCAAGGAGAGTGGGAAGGCATGAGGACATTGAGGTTTCCAACACAGCCATGTGTCGGCAAGAAGCCCAGAGGACAAAGTGTAGCTTTAAGACCAGTTGTGTAGCAAGTAGGCAGGGATGGGAAAAAAAGATTGGGAGACTTTGCCTGGAGACAAAACTGCAGTGACGACAAGGATCATGGCCAAACACAGGCTTGGTGAGGAAAGAAGGTTGCAGCATGCAGAGCCTTTGACCGGGTTATGAAAATTCAAGGCCAGAAACGCTGATAGGGTTGTTTTGGCCAGCTGAATTGTTCCACTCCTACATCCCTGTCTAACAGCCAGGAGACAGAGCTCCCTGTTTGCTTGGGTTTTTTTAGAAGAAAGGAATATCAGTGTTTCAACATTCCCCCCACCCCACAACCCCCTTTGCCCATCTGGGCACTAAATAGTCAGAGATCACGGATGACAGAATTTTTCTTGAAAAAAGGGCCCATACACACTGTAGACTGCTACCTCCAGCAGCAAAGTCTCGTTGTTTAGCAGTTGGTAGGTCTAAAAGCAGTTTAAATAGGCTCAGAGATTCTTCCTGGCTCTGGGGCAGCTGGAAGAAGAAGCATCACAGCCAAGTTCCAATTTGCCAAACAGCGTTTCTGCTTCTCTGTTTCTCCCTGCATGTGTTGCAGTACATCGCACTCACTCTGCCAGGCACCTGGCACGAGGCGTATGGCTGTGGGTTGATGCTGTTAAATCACAAGTAATAGCAAATATCACATTTCTTGCATATAGAAGTAATTTCTTTAAAAGCTGCTGAAAGTCATGGGAAGCTTGCACTGCTGAATGAGGTGTATGTGTAAGCTCCCATCAGGGCAATGGTGGTGTTGGCTGGGTGTTGCAGGATAACTTTTAGCAAATGTAGGTGGACTCTGCATGGAGTTGTTCTTCTGTCTATAAGAGAGACGGTGATATGTGGGCAGGTACATAGGATTAAACTCTGTTCTAATTTCATCTGGAAAGCAGGAAGGTAATTGAGTCCTGTAGGGGCTTTTCTGGAGTGAATAGGATCTTCTTCCTCTGCTCTCGCTGGAGGTCCCATGCAGAGTGTGCAGAGCTGTGGAGCAATTCCCTGCTGCGGCTGACCTTCCCAGATCGGTAGAAAAGCTCTTGGGGGAAGATCTGGCCTCTGGAGGAGTCTCCTAGCCTGAGATTTTGACTGGTGGTGGTGTGTGCCCCTGGAGAACCTGCTGGGCTCAGCTCTGAGAAGAGCTCAGAGCAAACAGTTATTTAAGCATGCATTTAAAGAGTCAGGCCACTCACTGCAGGCACTACGCAGACTTGCTGCATGTACCCATCTTCCTCTTTTCTCCGTCTTTTCTACTCAGAGTCAGAGATCAGTAAGAGCCAAAACCCCTATAGACTCTGTAATTCCAGAGAAGCTGACTGAAAGAGAAAGCCGTACTAAATGTCCAAAATAGTAGCTGAATTTTTGGAACTAGGGATGGAAAGAAGGGAGCATAAACATACGTGAATTTCTTAAAATGCAACCCTTATGCTATTTTTGTCTTTGTATCGTTTTTGGTTTTTTCTTCTCTCTCTTTCCGTCACTTTTTATATTCACCCATTTTCCTTCTACTTTTTCTCTGAACTCCCTGCTACTAACATTGTTCCCACACATCTGTTAGAGCCCTCACAGTGTTCTTTGTGGCTGAGTGTTCATTAACCTTTTATGTTGTATTGCAGAAAAAAACCCAGATTAATTATATTTTGAAGATTCCCAGCATCTCTGCTGACAGATTTGCTCATGGTAACTTTGACTCATTTCTTGAGCATAGCTTCTCTCTTCCTTCATAAAAAATGTGAGGCTTACAAATCAACTCATTTAAGCCCCTTGAAAATTCTTGGTTCAAGCATGTTTCCTCACAAGCTCATCCTTGGGGATGCACAATTTTCCTCCTCAGAATTTTGATGTTGTCACACATAATTACAGAGTTGATATATTAGAATTCTAAACAAGCTAGTCATTGATTTGATAATGTATATACAAAACTGGATGATACAAAAAAACCTTGGCACATGTATTCTCTGCCTGAGTTGCCCTAGCAGTCTGCAATGTCCATGCCTCCGTGCCTTTCCTCACTGTACATGGTTCCTCCTGAAAACTGTGGAGCATTTCTAGGGCAGCTAGTTTTCTTTGACCCTTTTCTCCTTGTTTTACTTGGATCTCCTTTCCCGATATTGAAAGCACACATCTCTTTCTCTCCCTTGTCCAAACATCCTTATTTGACTTGGTGAATGAGTTTATGTGTCTCCTTCATATAATTTGGAAGTATATTTATTCTGAAATTAGTAATTTTCAGTCTCCAATCACTTTCATAGACATGGAAAAAAGTTGCTTTATTAGGTTTCAACCTCCCTGTTGCTCGAGGCATATCCAGTTCAGTAGATATTTGGTTTAAAGACTGACTGTAGACTCCTGTGTGGCAGAGTTGTGAAATAATCCTACTCAGATATTGAATGCTGTTCCATAATTATGTCATAACTTCAACTGGAATAGATTTCCACAAATTATTTCAACAGGAAAACATTTTAACATGTTAACATGCCTCAGATCCTTAGGGCCTGTCTACCCTCATGGGTTCTGTTGAAAGGAAGCTGCGTAAGGAAGCTGGGGCTTACTTCAGCAAAGCTTCCAATAAATAGTAACACATCTCAGATGAAAACTAGTTTGCTGGTTCTGCTGGTTTTTTTGCTGTTAACATTAGCCAGGCAGATGAATTTGGAAGGAAAGTAATTAATACTGCTTTTAAAACTGTCTTAGGTAGTTGAATAGGTATTTGGGGATATATCTGCTTGTTAGGATATGTAGGTGCAAACAGTATTGATTGCATGTCTGTTTGGGTACCC